CTGGATAGGTGCGGCTGTCGGTCTGGTTGTGTCACAAATAGATGCTGCTGCAAAAAATATACAATTCCTTGCACCCCCGCCTGCAAAGTTTGCCACGGAGACTGCAATAATAAAACGTGTATAAACTATTTCCGGAAATTTTTTGGAAATCACGAATATTTTGAAAATTATCCCGATTCGAAGACTAGGGAGAGAAAATTAATAGAATTAGGGGGTAAAATCCCCTTTTAGGGGTTATAACTTGTTTTTTTACTCCCTTTAGGACTTTTTATAAACTACTGTCAATGTATTTTCCAACCACAAGGCTTTCGCGAACAGGATAAAAGAATGCTTACTTACGATTTATGAAGAAATATATTCCAATTTTAAGTGAGGGATAGCAGTCCCCTCCATTTCACCGCTAAGAAAAATTTTCATAGGAACTTCAGGCCAAATTGATCATTTGAGTCTAAAATACACGCGTACCAAACGCCTTGCTTGTATCACAATTTGCGGTTTTTATATAGCTACCGCTTCCACTAAGACAAGTTCAGGTTACTCTTAATCATGAGACAATGTAGATGTCAGTATCAAAAGGCTACCCACAGGGTAAGGTCCTAGGTCCTATCCCCCTTACTGTGGGACGTAGGTGCACTAAAAATTGTGGAGGACTGAGTGAAAAGGGCAAACCCGAGAAAACAATGGCAAAAGCAATGGTCTCCTTCACGAAAAAAGTAAAACTAGATGATTTACTCCCTGCCACTTTCTTCGGAAAGCAAATACAATTCGTCTGGGAAGTGAAATACCGAGGAATTTTCCTGGATGCAAAACTTACCTGGAACGCGCATATTGAATACGCCACCGACAAAGGTGAAATTGCACTAATGGCGACGAAAAGAGCAATGGGAAAACACATAGTATAGTGGATCTATACAGCAGTGGTAAGACCCAGACTTTCAGATCAATAGTTTGGTGGCCAAAAGTCGAACTGAACAAAGCAATAATCGAGCTATCCAAACTTCAAAGGTTGGCTTATTACTACATAAGGTGAGTTCGGCTTGGCAAAACGAAGTTGGAGCGGATAAGAGCAGTTTCATATTCACGAGATTACAGAGTGAAAAGAGTAAAATGGCTAAGTCGAACGCATCAGGAGCAAGGCGAGCCGCCGTCCGCAAATGCCAGGAGCAGTACCTACTACTGTTTTCTTGTATCAGCATTTTTTCATTACTAAGAATGACATTGTCCCCATCACAAACCGAACCATGTGTGTTTTGCGGATATTTTGGGAAGCGATGCAATATTTGTACTATATGCTCCCAGTGGCCTGACCCAAACGATTTTGCAGTGAAAAGTGCCAAAGGAATCAAAAGAGGAATCAAAAGAGTTGCCAAGTCGAACTCGCTTATTATGGGTACAATGAGAAGAACTCCAACTGCTGCTATGGAAACCATACTAAATATTTCGCCACTTGATATCATTATTAAGAAAGAATGGGGAATTAAAGACTCAATTGTAGCCAGAACGAGACGAACATGCGTACATACAAGAATAAAAAAACATTGTTACAAACTCACTGTTAGAGATGATAAGTGGCAACATGACTCCGAGAATAAATACCCACAAACTGAGATTAACTGGGAAAACAAAACAGAAAACTCGCTAGTCCAGGATAGGAAGATGTTATGGTACACTGATGGCTTTGAAACAGACAGTAGAACCGGTGCCTGAGTATATGGCCCAGAGCAAAATAGCTTTTTCCACTGGGAAAGCATTCCACCGTATTCCAAGCTAAAATACATGCAGTAGAGATATGCCTGGGGGAAAATGAGTATGTATACAAGGATATCACGATATTTTCAGAAACCCACGCAGCTATTAAAGCCCTAGCATGCCATCAGATAAACTCAAAATTAGTGTGGGACTGCCTGCAGCCCCTTTTAAACCTAGACAGCCATAATAGGGTGCCGGAGCATACTGGCGTTACGGGCAATGAAAACTCGGACTTCTTAGCCAGGGAAGGATCAGAAAGGCAGTTTATGGGCTTTGAACGCGTATTTGGAATATCAGAAATTTCGATACGTGGCTGCTTAGAAAAGTGAATCCGAGAGGAACACAAAAACCACTGGTATCAAACACCGAGGCCACAGAAGGCAATGGTGGAAATATATCATTCGGCAAGTAGCCTCTGAGATCCTAAAGCTCACGAGAAATGATCAGAATTGTGGTAGGACTCTTAACTGTTCACTGTACACTGATAAAACACTTACAGAAGATGGGTATCAACGAGATGAACCAATCCGTAGACTGAGCGAGGAGGACGAATAATGAGTCTCTCACATCTTATTCGAGTACTCAGCACTCGCTTATTGCCGATCGTTTATTGTATTGCTACTCGAACTGAGCTCCTTAAGCCGCTTCTATCAGCGAAGTGTACTTTACCAAAAGATCATTGCCTCCACTCATATGTCACCCCCCCTCGAACTGAAAGTAGCTTTTCACTGGATGGAACTTTAACAGCTGTTAGAGATAAGCCCAAAGTTCCTTGAAACTTTTTCCTTTGTTGTAAATGGTGGAATATTTCAAGTTGCATCATCAATCGATTTCGGTGTGTTAGCTGATAAATGTATTGTAGCGCACGTTCCTGAGCTTTGACGTACAAATATAGGTAAGAGGTTCCTCTTGTGAGCATTATCCACTTTTATAGGTGAAGCAATCAGTTGCCCTATTAGAATAAAAAGGATTCACTGTGAAGAAGTCTTGGTTACCATCAGTTACTCTGCCTTGCGGCGCTTAAAGCCTCCTATGGGTTCTACATTATTGAACCATGGAACGTTGAACTGCGAATCTAGATATTCCACACTGCTTCCAGCTTCTTCCGGCTGCATGTCCCCGTATAGCCGAAGCATCTCTGAGATTTATGAGATTTATTGTGTTATTGCGTTATAGTTCACGTAGACTCGTCTCGTGATTGTCATTATCATCTGGGTATTTAAGCGGACTTTCAGCTCTAGTATCTGCGAAAGCTTTGCCTTTATCAGAATAAACCAAACTCATTGAGCCCGTACAATGGTGGAGTGACGGTTCTCCCCCTTCTCAGATACTTCTGCTTATGTCGCGCAGTGTGGTCAATAATGCTGGGCTCTTGGAACTTCAGATCCTATCGTTTTTGTCTGACTTCTTTTAAGACTTCTCTTGTTTTTGCGCTGTGCAGGTTCAATAGCATATCGTACGTACGGCCTTTGCTAACATTGGGTTCACTATCTGGCTGCAAGTCCAATTATGCACTGGTACATCTCTCAGATGGAAAAAGGCCGATCTTGGGCGATATCGTTGATTCACTCTCTCCAATGAATTCAAAAGGCGTGCAGAACCAATATTCTCTATGACCTGATGACCGACTCTGGCGAAGAGCGTTTATTTCTATGCTTGTTTCTTGAACGGTTCAAATTCATTGTTCAATATCAATAAACTGTGGTATTGCCATAGCACCATCGCATCGCAGACCTGAGACTGACTATGGAAACCGTCGGGAATGGGCAGGTGATACGAGTCGACATTGTTAGACTTTTGTTTAAAATTTGCATCTATTTATGACACAAAGCCGAATAAAATAAACTATACAAAACTCAGATAGTGAGCTTTGCTGCCACGATTAACAAAATATACACACAAATCCGCATACATCGTCTGGGAGTTATACGGAATGTAGGCGAAGCGTGTCCCTTTGACTCTTGTCAATTTACCGACAGCCGGCGGGAAGCACACACATGGAAAACCTTGCTCCAAGTATGGCAACCACACGATTCGCAAATAATCACGAACATTCGCCAAATACACGCATAGACTGGGAGAGGCCTAAAATAGAATAATAATTACTAACATCGTCCATTAAACACGAAAGCTGTACCTACATTTCAGTAGTGCGACATATTTTATTACCTAAGAGAAAAGAGTCCTGTTTTAAATCATAATTATTAAATTATTATATATTGATTATTGTAAATTAACTCGCAATACTTCAAAAGAGAATCAAGCCAAAATCCATATATTTCTAAAAGTTTTAACACAACTAACTGAACCTTCCTTATCCTCCACCATGTAGCAGTTTCTTGCTTCCTTGCTTAGAGGATTCATCGATGAGTCACCTCACATTACGTAGGGGTTAATTCCAACAAGTAATTATTCTTCTAAAATAACGATACAAGTAACTACTATAAGTATAGAGTACCATACAGATTAGAGCAAGTGCAAGTCCATTAGCATTATAGGCTATGAAAATAATTATTCGAGGCTTATAATGCTACGACATGCACTTTATTGGGAAAATGTTTAACAACGTTTGGGTTAATTCATGCGGTAAATTTGTGCTTGAAATTTAAATTCGCTTTATATCAATTTGATAGTAGGATGCGTACAAAAGAGCCTTAACTAGCTTCTGGCATGTAACCAAAAGTGAGTACCTACTTCACAATTTCGTTGGAATTAATTGAAAATTGCTGGTAATTATTTTACTTGTTGAAAATACAATTTTAAAATGGGAAAACTTGGATTTAAATTTCACCCATAATCGTCTATTTTTACTTTAAAAACATTTTCGGTTGACCCTCGTGTCGTCCAAAAATGGGTAAACCTATACCATAAATCTACTTAAAGTCGGGATTTATTAGTAAAAGGGCAAATATACGACGTTCGAAAGGACGTCGTTGAAACGATTTTGGTTGCTTGCCAGAATCTAAAATCGAATTATGGGACCGTTATATTATTCTATTCTAATAGGTTCAGCGAAACATAAAATGGTCTTGCGAATTTGGGTCATCGTTGCTGCAGTCGTGATATTTAATAATTAATTTTTGGGGTTTACACTAAGAATTACTAACAAAAAGGGCTCTTCATAAAAAATATCAGCAACATGACGCAATTATGTTTGACTATCGTCTGGACCTTTTTTATGACCAAATAAACGAAGTGCCCCCAACAAAGGCATAAAACACCTAATAATGATTTTTTCGTTTTTCTTCCAGAGTACGGCTCTCCTTGTGTTACCCTTCATGCCGGCCTCGAACTTGTTTTTCCCTGTAGGCTTTGTAGTGGCCGAAAGAGTCCTTTATATGCCGTCAATGGGATTTTGTATGCTCATCGGCTACGGTTGGCAAATCCTTTGCAACAAAACCGGAAAAAAGTTGGCCTGGACTTTTGTCTGCCTGCTAATTCTATCCCACGGGGCCAAAACCTATTTGAGAAACTGGGACTGGGAGAATGAGTACACCATATTTATGTCAGGACTGAGGGTAAATCAGAGAAATGCGAAATTATTTAATAATGTTGGACATGCATTGGAAAGCCAAGGTGAAATTATTATTTATATATTTGAATCTTACTGTTAACAATAATTGAGTATTTTATAGGGAAGTTTGAGGAAGCTCTAGATTTCTTCAAAACAGCTGTAAGCGTGCAACATGATGACGTAGGAGCTTACATAAACGTAGGCAGAACTTATAATCATCTAAAGTTATACAAAGAAGCCGAAGAAGCTTACCTTAAAGCAAAATCCTTGTTACCGAAAGCCAAACCGGGTGAATCTTATCAAGCTCGAATAGCCCCCAACCATTTGAATGTATTTCTGAATCTAGCAAATTTGATTTCAAAGAACCATACCAGGTTAGTATTTTGTGACTTTTGCAATTTGATTCAAACTTTTATTACTGTAACATTCTTGCATAAACGAAATAAATAGTAGAGAAACATAAAAGTAATATTCAAATATCCATAAAATACAAAATCGGTTGTATCTACTTTTGTGTATGAAACATCAAAGAGGGGAACATCTTATATCATCTCTTTGTCATGATGTCGTAAAGTTTGAACTTTATACGCCTCATACTGGAGAATATAATTTTGCAAAATAGATATTGTATGTTATCACGTCCCGTGCGCCTAGAATAATGTACCTTATAAGTTTTATAGAGTAGAAGTTTTGGCTTAAGGAATTGCTTCAACTTTACTGATTCTAGTTTATAATATAATTTGCCAATTGATATTTTTAGTGCCTACGTATTACCCTCGCGTTGAGAAAATTAATAAAAAAAAAAGAAGAGGCTCCACACTACCTCTAATGCTAACAAAGATCCCGGGTAAAAAAAAAAAAAAAAACAATCGAAGATTGCTATGGTATTTTAAATGTATGTCTTATTAGCAATATTTTTCTTTAATTTTGTTATCCTGAACAATAAAGAAACTAGTGATGCCGCGAGACGAGACGAGAATCCGCTCTCGCTCTTCTCGTTTCGAAGATTCGAGAGAAAATGAGTCTCTCGTCTCGACGACAGACCCTCGATACGAGACGAGAGAGCTCTTCTCTCGTCTCTCGTGAGTTTTGATGCATAGTAAGTTAATTTCGTCTCCAAGGTCAAGACAATGCAAAAAATGTATTCTCGCTCATGTATAAGAATGTAATATTACTCATATTACCCAAGGTTCTGGAAAATATTGAAATTTTCTAGTGGTGTGGACATTTACGTACATTTTTATTTCAACAAAGAGTTCGGAGCGCCAATACGAAATAATTTTAAAAAATTATAGAAAATAAAATTGTGTCTCTGGCTGGCTGTCTGTCACGTTTGACAGTGGACGAGTAGAATTTCGCTCGCGATGTTTGGTCAACTTTACCGCACACTTTGCAGTCTACTTTACCGCACACTATGCGAGTGTGATCACTAGGTTATTACCGCACGCGAGAGAAATTTGCAAACCGTGCCGGTGAGGCGAGGTATGCGACTCTAAGGGCGTGTTATATTCAGTATTTTATCTACAACCGTGCGGTAACAAAATATCCGAAATAAGTTTATAAAATTATAGAATATAAAATTGCGTCTGTCACCTTTGATAGTGGACGGGTAGAATTTCGGTGATAGTTAGGTAATTGAAGGCATGCGGTAATAATGTTACCGCACATTTTTACAGCACGTTGTGCGGTAATAAAATTACCGCAGGCCGTGGGCTAGTATAGTAGGTACTTAACGCACGCAAAATCGTGTGATATACCTTAGTAACCGCCTGCTTGTAGATAAAATTATTAAAGAGTCACTGGAAACATTTGAACTCGCCTAATCTTTTAAAAGCAGGATCCTAATGATTAATAGCAGTTATTGGACCAAAATGCTGTTGCTTGGATCTGGCGTAAACTTATTTTGCATACAGTTTAGATTCTGAACTGTTTAGATAGAAAGTTTTATCAACACAAAATAAAACACTCTTTATTTAGTTATTTTGAGCATTTATAACAAAAAACCTATATGGCTCGAGAGAGCGAGAGAATACTGGAGAAATTCTCGACTAGAAAATGCATTATCTCGTCTCGTCTCGGAGTGACTTTTCGAGAGAAAATCGGTCACTCGCCTCGTCTCGACGACACGAGACAGGAGGCGAGTATCTCTCGTCGTGGCGGCATCACTAATAGAAACAATATTGCGACGTACGTTTAAAAACCCATAGCAATATTTGATTGTTTTTTTTTTTTTTTTTTTTTTTGAAGACCCTTTAGCTGACAAAGTATTTGCAGAAAGTTGATGAGATTTATTGAACGGAGATGGCGCAGAAGCGTCCTCTACCACTGCAAGCTCTTCAGATTGCATTGTCCAGACCTGTCCTTCTCATAAGACTCCAGAGCCGTGAAACTGGCCGGTTTGTCTCCTCCTCACCAAGTTTTGTGATCCTGAGCCTGCATAATGCTTCGCAATGGCACCACACATATACGAAAGGTTCTTCCGCCTCCTGGCAGAACCTGCATAGGCTATCCTCTGTCTCGCTCAATCTTCCCAGGTGCTTATTAAACCTGCAGTGCCCTGCTTATTGACCTACCATCATCCTTACAACCTTACGGCTGTTGTGGCTTAGTAGGTCTGATGTGAACTTGGGAGAGCAGAATTAAATGAACTGCTTTGCCTGTCGTTGTCCTGGTGTTTGCAGTCACCATCTCTAGAATTCTCTGTCTATCCAGTTCTTGATAGATATTTTAAAGAGGCACGCTGGCACAGGATGGTTTTGGCCCATCATCCCGGTTGCTGAGCTTCTTTTAGCTAAGTCGTCAGTCTCTTCATTGCCTAGTTGGCCCTCATGGCCTGGTACCCACGCTACAGTGAGTTTGTTAAACAATAGCCCACCTCCTCTAGGGCATATATGCAGTACCTGACCAGTTTGGAAGTGATCTTCTGGGAGCTGATTGACTGTCCGAGTAATGAGTAAATCACAATGTTTTCACTCTTCACTTCTTGTTCCTTTATCAGTATGGCACAGTGCGTTAATGCAGCGATTTCCGCCTGATATCTTCGTCCTGGGCCTGTCGTAGTACCTTCCCTTGCGAACACACTGTGCACTCTGGCGTACTCCCGTGTCTGTGATTTCTTCACAGAACCGCTCCCAGGATTTCTTTTTGCTTTGCGGATCTCTTTATCATATTGCGTAAGTTTTGTCCTGTAAATATGCCAATCGTGGTTGAGCCTTTTCACATTGTTCCACCAGACTGTCTTCTTCCTTTGCTGAGTTGTCTGTTCTGGGTAGTTATCCTCATAGGCCATTTGTATCGCCTCGTTCACGTGATCTACTGCCAGATGCAGATCTTTCATTATGAAAATAGTTACTGCACCCCCTCTAAGGTTATTTCATAGCCTTGCCAATTTGTCCTCTTTGGGTTGTGAAATTTCCTGATTTTCCGCTTTGAAGTTGTGATATCGAATCTTCTATGCCGATGGTCCGTCGATGGTAAGTCGCAAACATGCCAATTCGTAATGTTATCGCTGACATCATGGCTACAAAGAGTGAGATCAAGAACCCCACGCTTGACCGTTGTCACGAAGGTGGGTTCTGCGCCTTTATTAGCTATGTACAATCCTTCACTCATAATAAATTCATGCAAGTACTCAGCTCTACCATTGGTGTTGGTCTTGGTGTTGGTGCTTCACTAGATTGCGTGATGGGCGTTTTCATAGCCTCCAAATAAAATTTGCCGTCCTCTTGATCTGCAGTGGGTTACAGCGTCCTCCAATAGACGTGGGGGATACGTCCTCTCTTCTCCACAGGGAAGTAGATGCAGCTGACTACCCAGGACTTGGTCCCGTCCTTTGCTGTTGTTACGGTTGCTTGTACTGTAATAGAATCGCCAGAGTAGAGCTTCAGAGTTAGTGGTCAGCTAATTTTATTACTGTTATAAAGAATACAGGCTCGTTAGCCTCTGTATTAGGCATTCCAGGTCACGTGACTTTTGACAGGTCCGCCATATTAGCTGAGGGGCAAACAAAGCCTATAGTCAACCATCCAAGGACCTTTTTTTTCAGTTATACATGTAAACCCCATACTTTGTGAGTGGCTTGCTTACATCAAGTCCTACAACTTTTCCTCTACGACTTTTCTCGGAAATGGCACGAATGCGCGCAGGCGACTCGCAAACATGTCGATCTGACGTAGCTATGTTTCCTGATACATGTAGGTAAATCTAATTTTACGAATACTGTTTGATTTTTATGTCTAAATCACGGAAATCAACTTGGCCGACAAAAATAATGGCAAATTGGGGGAGTCCGATACCCCCAAAATGTCGATCTGACGTGGTTATGTTTCTTGATACATGAAAATCTAATTTCACGAATAATGTTTGATTTTTATTTCTAAATCACGGAAATCAACTTGGCCGACAAAAATAATGGCAAATTGGGGGAGTCCGATACCCCTAAAATGTTTGCGAGTCGCCTGCGCGCATACGTGCCATTTCCGAAAAAAGTCGTAGAGGAAAAGTTGTAGGACTTGATGTAAGCAATCCACTCACAAAGTATGGGGTTTACATGTATAACTGAAAAAAAAGGTCCTTGGATGGTTTACTACTACAGATCATTATTGTTTACGTTTTTTGATTTATTCAATAAATTTTAAGTTGTTTTTAGTTTTTGTGAATGAATGGAATGAATGAATGAATCTTTATTTACAGACATGCCACTTTACATTTCAATTCAACAATAGTAAACAAAACTAACTACCTCATTTGGTAGGTACTTCAACAAATATTCAAATGTCGGGTGACATCTGTAGATCTTGATGTTTCCATCTAGGTGTTCCAAATCTCCATAACACTCCACCAATCCTGGTGCCTCTCTTCTGCCAAAGCCGCCTTCTCTAGTTGAAGTTCTAAATTCTTTAATTAAAGTTATAATTATGTTTTCTCGACAGCCCATGTTTTCAAGAATGAATTTCTTTGTAAGCCATTTCCTCCTTACTTCCAGGGATTGTTCTCCAGCTTCAAATAGCAGTAAATAGTTGGTATTGACCTCATGCATCCCAATACTATTCTTAGTGCTTGAAATTGTATCGTATCCAGCTTCATTTTGTTCAGAGCGGTCATGGGTTGGAGTAATTGTGAGCCATAATCCAAATGGGTTCTTACAATCCTTTTATATATTTGAAGCAGGGTCCTGGGGTCTCCTCCCCACCAGATCCTGTTGAACGCTTGATAACATTTATCCCTCTTTGTGCGCCTTTTGTCATTTTAGTAGTATCCAATTCAGGTTATCTGTGAATATCACTCCCAAGTATTTGTACTCCCTGACCTATGGTATCCTTATGTCCTGGTACCCTACATGATTTTCAGGAAAGTTGTGCACTCTAGGTTCAAATGTCATGGCTAAGGATTTTCGAGTGAATATTTTGAAATTCAGGCTCCCGAACAGCGCTGACAGATCCTTTAGAAGCTGATTCAGTCTGTCAATCATCAATAGCATGTTCTTTCCCTTGATAATGATTGCGATGTCGTCCGCATATTGTAGAATTTTTGCTCTTCCCCGTGCCATGTCGGGGATGTAGCTCGTATAAATATTAAACAGGATTGGGCTGAGTAGTGATCCTTGTGCTAGCCCCGTAGATACATTTTTTGGGCCTATCATTTCTCCATTTTTGTCCCTAATAAATAATTTCCTATTGTTTAGTACTTCAAAAATCCAATTCTTTATAGTTGTGTGGATTCCCATTTTTCCATTTCCTCGTAGAGTTTGTATATGTTCACGTGATTCTATGCCCCCTTTATGTCCAGGAATACGACTAGTGTTCTAATTTTCTCATGGAAGTTTCTTTGGATCTCCAGTGTTAAGAAAGCTTGACATTCGAGGCATACCTTTCCCCGTCTAAATCCGATTTGTAGATACTCTCCAAGATCTTACATACACACGATTCCAGGGCAATCACCCTATAGCTCTTTGCCTCCCTGCAGTTTGATTTTTCTTCAGGGATCGGAAATATCATTGCTTCTTTTCCATTGGTATGTAATTATACCCCTTTGTATATTTTTCTTATATACTTTAATCAAAATCTCCTTTCCACTTCTTGGCATTTTTTTGAGCATTGTGCATAAAATCCCATCCATTCCAGGAGCCGAATCTAGTATTCTGTGTAATACAAACTCTAATTCTTCTAAAGTCACCCTTTTTTCCCTCATTCTGCCTGGTTTGTTCCATCCTAAATCAAAGATCTATGTTTACCAGAAGGAGATTATCAATAATTTCCTCTGCTAGTACCCTTGGCAACCCTTCCTTGGTTGGTTTTGGTGTGATCCTGTTTGAAAATGTTTTTATCGTTTTCCATATTTCTGCAAATGGAGTGTTACGATTTAATTGATCACAGTATTTTTGGGAACTGGCCCTTCTTTCCATCCTAAATTTCGGTTTGGGTTTTGCTATGCAGTCTTTGGTGGTCAAAAATTTTTCCGTAAGCCGATTTACGGTCTTCTTCCTTGCATATAGCAATTTCTCACACTCTAGATCCCACCAAGGTGTTACTTTTTTGTTGCTTTTCTGTCCTTTTTTTTTATTGGAATTGCTTTCTCCGCTACGTCCTGGAGCGCTTTTCCAATGGTCATATTTATTGGGAAATGGTCACTGTTTCCACAGCTTTTAATTATGTTCCAAAATGTTTTTGTTGCCAAGGAGGGGGATCCGAATGAGATCTCTGGGGCTGAGTTGTTTTAATATGGCGTAGTCATTCTTGTTGGATTTCCATTATTAAAAAATACTAGAGACGAGTCCATTACCATTTCCTGAATTATTTTTCCATTTCTGTTGGCTATTGAGCTCCAAGTAGGATGTTGCCCATTGAGGTCGCCTATCCACCTTATGCATCCCAATACTATTCTCAGTGCTTGAAATTGTATCGTATCCAGTTTTATTTTGTTCAAAGCGGTCATGGGTTGGAGTAATTGTGAGCCATAATCTAAACGTGTTCTTACAATCCCTTTAAATATTTGAAGCAGGATCCTGAGGTCTCCATCCCACCAGACTCTTGTTAAACTCTTGATAGCATTTATCCCTCTTTGTGCCCCTTTCGTCATTTAAGTAGTTTCCTTGGTCCAATTCAGGTTATCTGTGAATATCACTGCCAAGTATTTGTACTCCCTGACCCATGGTATCCTTCTGTCCTGGTACTGTACATGATTTTCAGGAAATGGATATTGTCAATTATATTCTTCAGGGTGAGGGATGGAATTATTGATGAGGGAGGGTTAGATGTTAACTATTGTCAAATTACTATTAATTAGTCTAATTCCTTGAATTTGAAATTTTTCTGGAAGGTTTATGCGTGCTATTGGGTATTTCACGTACTCTGAATTTCCTTTGATAAGAAGAGCTATTCCACCCTTCCCATCCTGTCTATCTTCTCTTAGAATGTTATATTTTTTAAGCTGAAACCGATGTTCTTTTTTCAGCCATGTCTCATGTAGACCTATGATGTCGTATTTTGCATCTTGCTTGATGATTTTTAAGTTGTCTATGTTTGAAAATACACTTTTTATGTTCCATTGTAATATATTAATAATTTTTAGTAGTTTTTTTTTAACTTTCCTGGGTTACCACTCTTCTTCCTCCAGAGGAAACCTCTGATTCATTTTCGTTATGGCATCTAGGTAGTTTTGAGCTAATTGGTTGTTTTCATGGATCCTATCAATTTTATGAAGTAGTTCCTTATGCTCCCGTCCTCCGAAGAATCTTGATTGATTCTTTCTTAGGTGACTGGGGTAATGCTGAGGCTATTATCTCTCAGTGTAATAGGCTGGAAGGAAAGTCGGGTGTTTTGGGGATACAGGCATTGATTATTAGCGGCTTCATCCTACCCTTTTCCTGGTATATTTGCTGTTTTCCTTTTTTTTGGACAGAAATTCTACTACTGTATGTGGGGCTTTTTTCTAATGTTTGTTTTTTTTTTCCAAGTATATTTGCCTGTTCTGGCTCATCTGGGTGAAGTTCGAAACTGGTCTGTTTTTTGGTAGTGCCGGAACTTGATTTGTCTTGGTCTGAATTCCCTATTCCTGTTAACTCAGGGAACCATTTCAGTGGCCTGGGAGTAGGATAGACTGTCCAATGACATGTGTTTGTCTAATGAGCTCTGCTTCCTGAACTGAAAAAGACACTCGTGTACTACGTGCACTCACTTTTTTTCAGTGGCATTCGGAAGAATGTGATATGTATTCATACAAGACAAAATATTCCTTGTTCATTGGAGTCGCCAAGGCCACACTTTCCCTATCTTAGGATAGGTACCTACGAAATTTATATAAAAATTCAGCACATTGTTCAGGCTTTTAAAAACTTATTTAAATGGAATAGGTCATTCATTGAAATGGAGTAGGCAACTCGACACGCGTTAGGTTAAAGTATTACTCATATTTCCTATTAGTATAACCTTTTCTGTTGAATCGTGATTGTAAATCAGTTTCCTATGCTTTTGCAGAACCTACGTATAAAACAGTAAAAGTCGGTCACAGATTAATCTTTGAAAATCACTGTTCTAAATGCTTGCTCTATGTCTATAAACTTCAAACTTACCTATATAAAAACGTGTGAAACTCAAATATGTATGAAGAAACGACAGGAACATGGGACATGTCGGGCCATTCACGTTTCATGCGGCCGTTTATGACTTGAAAATTCTCAGCCATATCGGAACTCGTATAGTCTTTACCTGCAAGTATCAAATTTTAAATTAGTTCGGTTCGATGATTCCAAATTCTTAGTTTACTTTGAATGGTTTTGAAAAAAGATGAGTTGAAAAATATTCCTTTATTTTTCTGCACGTTCTGCGGGGCTTTTAACTTAAACTTAATTCAACGCTGCATAATAAAGTGTCTGCCTAAACTTTATATATTTGGTCTCATTCTTTTATCAATTCGCTCTAGTGACTTTATAAAGTTTTTAGTTTGTACGAAAAACTCTTTCACGATTTAGTTAAAATCCTACGATAACTGCACCACAATTTATTTATTTTTAGACTGGAAGAAGCAGATATGCTTTACCGTCAAGCTATAAGTATGAGAGCGGATTACACCCAGGCGTACATTAATAGAGGCGATATATTAATAAAACTGAATAGAACTAAAGAAGCTCAGGAGGTATACGAAAGAGCTCTTTTGTACGACAGCAACAATCCCGATATCTATTATAATGTAAGTAGACGCTTAGCTAATTTATTTTTTTAAGTAATGAATAATAGGAGTCTTTGTCATGGAACATTGGAAAATCGAGTACAATGAGGAATAAAAAATAGGTTTCATAAAGCCTTTTTTCAGGACTTTTTAATAATAACACCGTCAATAAAGAGCTTCTCGGAATTTTTAAAAGCTCTCTAAAGCTTATTTTATTAAAAAAAACAAACAAACTATTTTTGTTTATTTTCAGTTAGGGGTCGTATTTCTTGAACAAGGCAAAGCATCTCAAGCTCTTGCTTACTTAGATAAAGCCCTAGAAATTGATCCAGAACACGAACAAGCGTTATTAAACTCTGCTATACTTCTACAAGAATTTGGAAGGCCAGAATTTCGGAAAACAGCTAGAGAAAGGCTGCTGAAGTTATTAGCCAAAGACAAAAATAACGAAAGGGTTCACTTTAATTTAGGAATGCTTGCTATGGATGATAAGGATATTGCTGAAGCAGAGCATTGGTTCAGAAGAGCTGTTCATTTGAAGTCTGATTTTAGGAGCGCATTATTCAATTTGGCATTACTTTTGGCTGATGATATGAGGCCTTTAGAGGCCGCACCATTTTTAAATCAATTGGTCAAATACCATCCAGACCATGTTAAAGGGCTAATATTGCTGGGAGATATTTATATCAATAATATAAAGGATTTGGATGCAGCAGAAAATGTAAGTAATTACTTTCTGTTTAATTTTTTACTCAAACACGAGATTAAGCTCCGAATTTCATACATTAGTAGATAGCAATTGAACGCAGGGCGTTTTTTTTTTTTAATTCATTCCCCCACAATATATTTTCCTTAAAATAAAACTTCGAAGTTAGCCTGAAACTTTTGGCAGGACTTTTCAACCTGAGAATTCATAATTTTTTTTTGCCTGAAACAAATTAAACTCAACTTGTAAAAAAGTTTTCCCAATTAACTTTGCATAAACTTGCTTTTTATAATAACTCAGTTTAAATCGAAAACTTTTATTAAATTATTTCTAGTGCTATAAAAGAATCCTGGAACTAGAACCAGATAACATCCAAGGTCTGCACAACCTTTGTGTAGTCCACGTAGAACGAGGCAAACTCCTAGAAGCCCAAACATGTCTTGAAGAAGCCCACCGGCTAGCCCCAGAAGAAGACTACATCATTAAACACCTCAACATAGTGCAAAACAGAGTGAGCAAACTTCATTTGAACGAAGACATTGCAGACTCCAAAGAAAAAAGCAAAGTAGTATCAAATAAAAGTGTAGACGAAAATGAAAAAACAACACAACCGGTGATAAGTAAAGATACTGAAAAGCAGCGGTATAGTAGTCGTGTTGTAGATACTGAACCTATGTTTGTAAAAAATACTGACAATACCAAAGATTATCCCAATTTAACGATTGAAGAAAAAGTAGAAGAAGGCGACCCCAAAGATTCAACAAGGAATTATAGCAGTTCTACAAGGCAACAACATGCGGTCGATAATGACGACCCATCATTTGGCATGTCTTAGCAATGAATAAATGATTGAAGAGAGATACTTTACTAAAATTTGAAACTTATAATGAAATTGAAGAATCTCTTTTAAATATTTTGTATATGGGCCAATAAGTTTTTAAGGTGAGTTTTATTAAAGCAAAGATGCTGGAAAGGTATTTTTTTGCTTTAAGACTGACTTTTGAATCGTTTGGTGAAGCCATTAGATGTAGTGTTCATTCTGTGATATTCAGAATAATCGTTTTAAACTATTTTGATTAAAGCAAAAAAAAAATGTCTAAATATTCAATATGTTCACCTTATCTTAACTTTTATAAAATGAATCTAAGGGAAGCTGTGCCCCGTATGTGACTTAGTGTTTACAATCATTTTTTCAATTTCTTAAAACATTACAGACACTTACATTTCAAAATTTGGGTTTACATATGCATATTTTACCAACCCCTCTTAAAAAAAAATATATATTTAACTACGCTAAGAGAAATTTGGACAATACTTCTACTTTTCTTTTTGTGTACTTTTGTGATGTTCAATGACATTTTTCCATCATTATTTTGTTCCTGAAGTGTAACTAATAACAATTTGTAAAGAATATAGTATTCTTATGACTAAATTTATAGACTAATATTTTATTTATTTTTATCAAAAATTTGTATCTGATAAAAATAGTAAGTGTATAAATATTTAAGTAGAACATTTAATATGCCTACATATTCTGACATCTTTTTATGTTTCATTTGTCCCAAAAAATCACGCTAATTAATTGAAAAGGAACACCTTTCAAGAATAATAAGGAACTAATTCATACACTAGTAGAAACACAAATAAATTAGTCTTCCCAGTGTGTCAAAAAATGTATTATAGATAAATCATATTTTAGAAAGGCCTATATACAATAAGAACAATTTTACCTTACTGTTTATTGGTCTTTTTTACGAAGAATCGCGTGTATTTCCCAACAAGGATGTATTTAGATAGGTATAATTATTAATTCAATTCTGTACAGGCGGGAATGTATATTTTTATACGATTAGATTAACAAAATTAATTGGATATAAAGAGCTAGTCTTGGGAAATATATTTGAATCTTGATATGGCCTAAATTAGTTTATTCTAAATTTGTGATTATTTTGTGATGTTTTTATTATTTGTGATATACTTATGTGGTAGGTGTTTTTAGTTGCAAAAGCCTTATTTGTCACTTTTTTGTTTTACGGCATATCTGTACTACTTATAAACATAAAAGTTATACTAACGTTTATATAATAAATGTCTTGGTGTAAAAATCCTTTAGCGACTAGTTTTAGGATAATCCACGTGGCCAAATTTGCTGCTTGAAAAAATATTTTCTAGTTATCGTAGTAAGATTTTCGAAAAAGCCAAACCACATTTAAACAATTCTAATCTACAGACGATTATTTTTAAAAAGCCTATCGTGGATTTAGTTTTTAAAAAATTTGTTTAGTTTGTGAAGGTGCCTTGAAATCTTAAAGTAAGGCAAATATGCAAAAAAAAAAATGATTTTGTATTATAGATATAAATATTTTTCTATGTTGTGAACCTGTTCATAGAGGAATAAAGAAAATATTGTATGAAATAAATCTAATGTTTGTGAAAATTAAAATATAATTAATTGTCCTATGACTGAGTTTTGTTTCTGTTAGTTCTTTTCCAAAATTTTCTATAAAAGATGTTACCTAACCCCGAGTATACACTTTTGTAATAAAACATGTGTGCTGAATTGAAAATTCTTATAATTGTGTTTTATTTGTATTTATTAGAGAGGCAGTGATACATGAAGAAAGAAACCTGGAACATCCTTGACACAATCTGAGCTAGACATTGATTTCAAGGCGGGATCAAAGACTGTTATTTGACTAGTGGAAAAGTATCTATTTTTATCATATATGTTCTTGATTATTCTAAAAAAAAAGGTCTGCAAAAAAGAAGCATCCGTTCCCCAAAAATAGTGTCACGGCTCTGGGGTGCGTGACAGAAATCTTGGGTCTGTTTATTTCAAAATCAAAGTCCAATTAACACAACAATAATTTATTCCACGTTACTACACACTCTGACACTAATTACTTCACTAATCAACTCTAACAACTGAACTCTTCACAACTCTTAAAAATAATCACTATCTAAATGATATTACAGTCAATCTTAAACTTAAAACTACTAACTAATACCGGACTTTATATATCCGCAATCTATTCCTGTAAAATCCAGAATAAACGCGATATTGTTTTTGCCCAAATAAATCAGTATTTTCTAGATTCCACTTTCCTCCTCTTAAGGTTGATCGTTCTGATCAACTTAGCGCCCATGATATTTCGTCAATATGTCCAAATGTTCAACTTTCATCTTACTCCTGGTCTTGCGCTGAACTGGAAAAACCAAATCATTGATCCTCTTGATTATTCTGTAGGATCCTTTCCATGCTGATGACAATTTCGGCGACACTCCTTTCTTCCTTGCTGGATTATACACCCACACTAAATCACCTTCTTGAAATCCGGCAGAATTGGCTTTCAATTCGTATTCGGTCACTGGCCAGCTGAATATGCTCCCGAACTAAATCGTGTACCTATTCCCAGAAGTCGCGCCCTTACTTCGTCGACATAATCTCGAATTTCTTCCCGTTCTTCTTCAGGCATTCCAAACATCAGATCGCAAGGTAACCTGAGTTCCCTTCCAAAAACGATTTTAGCTGGACTTTCACCTGTTGACTCGTTAACAGCTGCTCTGTGAGCCATTAAAAACAGAGGCAAATGTTTGTCCCAATCTCGCTGGTTCTTTGCGACCACTTTTGTCGGGTGTTCCTCTATGGTCTTATTAAATCGTTCTACCATGCCATCAGACTGTGGATGTAAAGATGTTGTCCTTGTCTTATGAATGCTCATGATCTCACAAATTTTTTTGAAGGTGGCAGATTCGAATTTTCGTCCCTGATCTGAATGTAACTGCACAGCATGACGACTAAAAACTTCGTCCACTAGCACTAGCACCTGAGGAATAGTGATGGCGCCTTGATTGGGAATAGCGAAAACTTCTGGCCATTTACTGAAGTACCTAATCCTAACCAAGATGTATTTGTTACCACGCTCTGACTCAGAGATCGGTCCGGCTATATCTATCGCTATTCTTTCAAATGGCGACTGACGTTGTACTGTTGCATGGGCCCCCAAGATCCTAGTTTGGGGCCTTTACTGGTAGCACAGATGTCGCATTTATGGCACCAGCTTTTAACGTCTTCATGATAGTGAAAGTCTTGTTAAATCCAGAATGTGCCCCTGAAGTTCCGTCATACATTTCTTTTAATACATCTTCTACTCGATCTTTTGGAAAAACCAGTTGGTTCTTAGTAGATTTTCCATCGGCACCTTTCCAAATTCTTTTCAGTAAACCATGTTCTACGGCCAGAGAGCTCCACTGAGCCCACAACGCCTTGTTAATCAAACTCTTGTTCAACCCTTCCCTCCATTCTGGCCTACAGTCATCATTGTCTTTAAGATGGAGAAATTGCCCAATGTCCTGGTCTGCTTCTTGATCTGCTCTCATTTGTTTGGTAGTGTATTTATCATCAACGATCAAACCTGTTCTTCTCACAGCCGCACCAGTGTTTTTCTCATGCATGTCAATTATTTGACAATGCTTGCAGTCTTCTTTGCATGCCCTTGTAGACAGAGCGTCAGCGTTTTTATGCAGGTTTCCAGGTCAATGTTTCATTTGGAAATCGTATTGCTGCAACTTCTCAATCCATCTAGCAAGCTGTCCTTCGAGTGTTTTCATTTCTAATAGCAATTTTAGAGCTGCGTGATCCATTCGAATTAAATTTACCTCCGTAGAAATACTTATGGAAATCGTCGATTGCTTATACTATGCCGAGCAACTCTCTTCTAGTGACACAATAATTTCGTTCTGCTGTAGTATTCTACGACATGCTCTTGTGAATTTGTGGAAGTACCGCTCCAATACTGGTGTTGCTTGCATTTGTGTCCAAAATCAACCTGCCCTTCTGATCGGGATAGGACAACACTGGGCTTGTACATAATGCTCCTTTTAATTTTCTTAATGCGGAATTGCATTCTTGGGACCAATTGAATGTCGATTTTGCTTTCGTTAATCGATGAAGCCGAACAGCTATATTGGCGAATCCTTCCACAAACTTCGATAATAAGAACATAATCCTAATGTAACGCTTTTTTGTCGAAACAAAAGAATGCTCATAATAGTACTCGACTATGCTCAGTGGTTGTTTAGCTTGGGGTGGTCCTTGGTGTTGGTACAGTAGAGAGAGTGCGTCACTAGTTTGTATAAATTATTTTGAATATATAGGCCGTCGGCCACGCGCTAAAAAGCCTTCTCCTTATCGGGTTTTCATAAATCGAGGTATAACCAATCAAAACAGGTACCATTCGATTCAGCACGATTTTTTACATAGGAAACTGAAAATGACGACACTCTCCATTGGTCGAGACATTAGTTATGGAGGAAAAACATGAAAAAAGAGACGATTTTCTTTTTAATACTTGGGTACAAATAACTCTGAAACCATTCAAGCTTCAATGATAATTTTTTCACAGTTGTAAACCCTTATAGTTCCCCGTCGAATAGCAGTTTTTTCATTTGTTCAAAATGATAATTGTTTATACTAGCAACAATTTTCTTGACGGATGCACAGTTTTACAACATTTCTCTTCATTTAAACATACGGTATCTGGCTTGTATAAAGCAGTATAAATATTTTTTTTTTTACAGAAAGTTGCGAAATTTTATGGGCAATATTTTGTCTCGATTATTATAGGGTCTATTTTTAAAAACAAATCCGCTGGAACCATTTAAACACAATAAAACGCGAGAAAGCGGCTGGATTGGGCGACTTCCTCTCCATTCCCGCAACCACCCGCCGCGCCGCGGCCAGCGCCATGCCTGTAATGCAGAAAGTGGGAGTTTAGTAGAAGTGAATCTCACAGAGTCCGTAATTTGTGAAGTTTGCAATAATAATATTTATTTAATTATAGATTTTTTTGCTTTTGTAAAGCATACCTATTATACAGGATATACCATTCAAAACAAAACGGGCTAAATATCTGATGCCACGTTTACTTTTTTAAAAATCGCTCCTACAGGTAATTTGATTTTCAAAGGGGGAAGTTTTCTGCAATCATTTCTGGCACTTCAACTTTAACCCTCTAGGCGGGGTGGGACCAACCCTTACTATTTTAAATCCAACAAGGGGTCGAGAGATACCTCTTTTAAAAGTGCATTGAATTCTCGAATGAGAATTCAAACAGGTATTTAATGTCATTTGAAAGAAAATTGAACGGTCTTTTAAAACAGGTATCGCTCGACCCCCTGTTCCATTTGGAATGGTAAGGGTTGGTCCCACCCCCTCTAGAGGTTTAAGTTGGTGCTGGAATTGTTTCAAACACTCACACAATCACATTACCTGTACGAGTCATTTTTTTTTTATAAAATAAAAGTGGCATCAGATATTTAGCCTGTTTCGTTTTAAATGGTATACCCTCTATATATCAAGTGTTTTGACCTATGCCTCTATAAAGTACTAGTTTTATATGGGTGAGTAGGTACCTAATGGCCATTTGCACGGCTATCAGTTAAGGTTTAAAAGAAAATGAGATATAAATGGAGGCCGTTCATATGATCGTAACTACTAACAAAAAAGAGATATATTCCAATACATGCACTTTCTAATAAACTTGGACTTTCTGAGATACGGGTAGGTTCATCGACAAGCTGCATTAGACCACAACTTATGGCAAAAGCTCCTGCTTCTCTGCCTTCGTTATCTGTTTTGTTGTGGTGTTTCAGCCAGGGTATATTGTGGACGTTGAAATCGCCTAAAAAGACAATTTCCGCCTGTGGATAGTTTGACTGTATACTATCACAGCTTTCGGATAATGTCGCGAAAAAGTTTTGGTACTCGGTGTTAGATGGCGGTCGGTAGAGGCAGGAGATAAACTTGGTCGATGACTTTGAGGTGAATTTTAGCCATATGATATCAAGGTTCGCTGGTTCTAGCTTCTCCTCTCGATGACATGAAAGGTCATTTTTAATGTACACACAGATCCCAAAATTATGTCGAAATCGGTGGTGTAGGTCATAGCCGGGATAAAGATAGTTCACAATAGGTGTTGCAGAACTGATTTTAGTTTCAGTGAGAACAAGGATGTCAGGTCTTTGTTCTTCAAGATGTTGGTGAACTGAATTCATATTTGTACTTATTCCTCTTATATTGCTAAAATCAATTCTGAGTTGAGTTTTTGATCTTCTCTTTATATCTTTGCATGAAGGACCCCCAGGATCACCCGACGCCCGGAGATCCGAGTGGTCGGGTATTTTACCTCCGGAATATTTTGATCCTGGAGGCGTCATCATGCTATCTGTTACTCATTGTTGGAACCGGACTGCCAGCGCAGTAGCGAAACGTGGTGATACCACTTAGCGCTACTCAATTCTGGCATGGTGGTATCTCACCGGTCGACGCCCAATGAGTAAAAAGCGTCTACCACCTATAATCGTTAGGAAAATAGCTATTTTGATACCTATTCATTTAACCTGTTCAGGTGGAGTGCAAAAATATACGGGAAAACTTTGCAATTCCCATTTTTTATTTCAAAGAAGAAAAGCAATAAAGTAAGAACAAGTGCACCCCTAATTTTTTCTGGCCCAGCCTGGCCCCCCCTAACATAAAACCCTGGCGTCGCCACTGAGCGGAACGATC